GGGAATATTTCTTCACCCAAAAGATTGCCCAGGGCATGGCTGGAGCCCCCATCCCTGCAGGGATTTAAAATCCATGGGGATGTGGCACTTGGGGATGTGGTCAATGGTGGCAGTGCTGGGGAACAGTTGGACTTTATGAGTCTGTGATTCTGTGAAAATAACAGAGAGGGGAGAGATTTCCCTTCCAGAAATGCAGCAGGAGTCAGGTTGCCATGAAGGCTGAGCTGCGGGGGCTGCTCAGCACGTTGTGCAAGAGGGAAGGATCCTGGAGCAGGAGCTTGGCCTCCTTCCCACCGTGTGTGCCACTGCAGACGAGGCCTTTTGTCACAAGCCTCAGCTCGTGGAGCTGGGAATTGCACATTTCCCTCCCTCCAGGTGTGCTCACCTGCCCAGACAGTGCCAGGCCTGGCCCCTGGCACCCTCACCCTCCTGACTCACACCTGGGACCTGTTCTCTCCCTCCAGGCTGCAGAGATGGATGGATTTCAGGCAGACACTGAGGAAGATGAGGAAGATGATGACTGCATGATTGTGGATGTACAGCCAGGAAAAGGTGGGAAGGGAAATGGGTGCCTGGCTCTTGGCAGACACTCCCCCAAGGGAGCAGGAACTGCGTGAGCTGAACTTTGGATTTCCTGCCCTTTCTCACCATTCCTTGAGCTTTTCTCTCTATAGATATCTTATTCCAGATACTCCTGCTTTTTACCCTTTCTAAAATATGTTTATTTAATATTTATAGCCTTATCCAAGCTGCTCTTGCCTCTTCTGCCCTCCTCCTCCACTTTTCCTGAGCAGCACTTGGCTGCCAGTGTCACCTGCTTGTTTCTGGCAGCACAGGTGGGTACTGCCAGCACATCCACTGGTAAATTATGGAAAACATTGCTGCTCTCTGGGGCCTGCAGAGCCCCCCCAGGCCTGGCAAGGGCTGGGTTATCACCCCTCTCAAAGGTGCAAATTGTCTGAAGGCAGTCACATCAGGCAGCACGGCCTGGCTGCTGTTTGCTCCACAAGCTGAGCACTTGCTTGTGTTTGTGTCCCACTTATCCCTTGGAAAAACAGATCAAAGCCCCTCTGCTGCAGCCTCTCCTTTCAGGCCAGGCTGGGATGAGGACGTGGAGCAGCTCCTTTCATCTCCAGGAGCTCTTGGAGGTGATCACACACATCAATGAGCTGACTCCAAGCACGTGCTGTGGTTTCCAAAGCTCTGGGCTCTTTCTTCCTGCTCACAGTAAGAGCTCTCCCAGCCTGCTCTGAGGAAAGTGGGTTTGTGTTGGGCAGCTCCTCTGCTAGATAAGGACTGGTGCACAGAAATTCTGTAGTGTTTGACCCATTCCAGGCATTATCTGGGCTCTCCTTCCTCTCTGAGCTCCTCTCACCTCCCAAAACAGACACTGGGACAGCTTGACAAGAAGCTTGGCTTTAATCTTAAGCTGCTTTTGCTTATTACCAGGCTCTGAGATGAAAACCTCACCTCAGGTTTGTCTCCTCTTGTTCTGAGGGTGCCATTGAGCAGCTTCCCTCCCCCAGGCTCTGCTGGCACGCACACAGCTCTATTTGTTTGGCTCTAAAGCACTGAAAAGATTATGAAAATCCTTTTTATGGTTGAAGTGTTTTTTTTTTTATTATTATTATTCTGGATTGGTGATATTAAATACGAAGCCAGTATTAAAACCAGTTTTTAAATAGTGTTGAAAAGGAGACTCACAACAGATGCAGGAAGCTAAGACAGATAAAACATAAAGCAGTCAAATTTTAGCAGATTCATGAGGATATTTATAAAAACAAAACAAACCAAACACATTCTTTCCTTTGCAGGTTCCACAGCTCCAGAATCCAGTGGCACAAGAGCTGCTCACCAGGACAGCAGCATGGTCAGCCCATCTAATACAATTTGAGACAGAAATGCCTACTAACTCCTCTGTATGTATGTAGAATGAGCTAGAAAGTTTTAAACCTTGTGTATCTTTGACCAAGATACTTGAAAGTATTCCACATTTCTTGTAAAGAGAAGACAGCACTTTGTTCTGCTTCAGACCAGATGGAAGCTTAATTTTTTAGACTTAGCTTTTTAGCTTTTTTTTTTTTTAATACTGCATATTAATCTGTCCTTAATAAAGCATTATTGAAATTTTGATACTTCTTTGTAATGGAAGGTATCTAAGTTATCTCTAAAAGTAGCTGAGGGATTTTGGAATAAGCTTATTGTGATGCCACTAGGGGAATGACTGTTCATAATGTTGTACAGCGTGGCCTTGGGTATAAATGATGTACAATTATATATGAATTTATGCTCTTGTACCATCCTGTTTGTGGTCTTACTTGCTCCAGAGAACAGCAGCAGGGCTTTACCCTTGGAAAAGGAAAAATGCATTTTGTTGCTCTTATTTTGGGACAGGCTGGTCAGGGCTAGACCCTCAGTCTCTTGTCTGCATCAGAGCTGGGCTCTGTCCCACAGAAAAACTCTGAGGTAATAAAGGCATCAAATCTGATGATAAACAGAACAAATTTGCTGGGGCTTTCAGCTTTATACGACTGGTGAGTTATGAATTACTTCTTAAAAAGATTTGTCTGTAATTCGAGGTTGATTTAATCTACTGGGCACCACCAGTAGCTGTTCCCTGCTGTCACTCTCTGAAGGGACAAGGGGGGTGATGCTGCCCCAGTAACACCAGTGCCAGCCCCAGCACACACTGGTTTGGCATCTCAAACCTACAACAATGCAACTCAAGTGAACTGGGATCAGAACCGAGTCTTTAAATAATTCCATTTAATCAGACTAAGTGTAACTTTATCCAAATAGCTTCTCTCCACCAGGAGTTACAGTGCACACAGAAGCAGGACGGGAAGCTGAGTTCTAAACCCAGCCCCCTACCCAGGCTCAGGTTGGTAATCCAACCTAACAGCCCCTAATCCCTGCTCCACCACTGCCTGGGGAGCACCTCAGGCATTCCCTGCTCCCGTTTGGTGCCGAAATTCCCTCGGAGCAGCCACTGGCAGAGGCCACCCGCGAGTCTGGAGCTGGGAGGGGACAGCAGGGTCCAGCCCTTCTGCAGAGCTCAACCAAAGCCACCTGTGAGCTCACGTAGCTCCAGCAGTCCTGGGGAAAGGAGGGATGAATCCAGAGGCAGCAGCACTGGGGGCACTGCCCTTTATTTCAGGACAGGGTCTGGGCTCTGGCCAGCAGCTCGGGCCGGAGGGGGCTGCGCTGCTCCTCGGCCGCCGCCTCCACGTCTGCCATCACGGCGGCGTCCCAGGCCAGGCTCAGCAGGGCCGAGGGCACCTGGGCGGGACGGGTGAACTGAGCACACAGCCAGGCACGGCTGGGGCACGCCAGCAACCCCAAAACCCAGCCAGTGCCACCCCTGCCTGGGGCACCACACCTCCCACTGTCCCAGGGTTGCTGCATCCTGCACCCGGGCACTCCCACGGCTGCTGTGTTCCCCTTGAGTGCAGAACAGCCTGTGTGAGCTCACAGACCTGGGACTGCTCCAACTGAAGAGGACAAAGAGGCTGGATTCTGCAGCAGCTCCTTTTAGGGGATGGTGCTTTGGGTTTTCTGTTCATACCTTCCCCCACCATGGCCACCTTCGCTCTTTCCCAGCCCCTGACAGCTGCTCTGTGCTCCAGGAGGGAGGACCCTGCCCTTCCCTCCACACCTCGAAGCCCCCAAGCAGTTATTGCTTTATTTGTGCTTAAAATGAGCCCCTGACAGCTGCTCTGTGCTCCAGGAGGGAGGACCCTGCCCTTCCCTCCACACCTCGAAGCCCCCAAGCAGTTTCTGCTTTGTTTGTGCCTAATATGAGGGGACAGAGCACAGCTTGGGGCTCTGAAAGAACACAAACTTCTCCCCCCCACCCCAGCTCTGAGCAGCACAAGACTCTGACAGCCTCAAGATGCTCTGGAAGGTGCCAACAGTCTTTTTTTTTTCACTCACCAACCCGCATTCATTGAAGGCCAAGTTCTCATCAGTCAGTTTGAGACCTCCAGGTCCCAGGAGCTCAAAGGGCAGCCAGTCATCTCTGAGTGCTTCTCTCACAAAGCTGTAGAGCACAGACACTGATTCCCGGGCATAAAAAGTCCCTGCCATGAGAAAACAAGGTGAGAGAGTCTGGCATTTACCAAAATCTAACCTTTTGTGGTCGGTTCCGTGGGGCTTCACCTACTGATGCCGACTTGACCGACGACTTCCCTGACACACAGCCAGCCTCATTTAACTGACAGCTACAAAAGCAGAATCCCCAAAGAAAAATAGTCAATTGTTGGGAGCCCCTGCCAACCTGCCACAAAAGAGCTGGGGAAGCCTGAAATGATTTCCAGAGTTCTGCTGGAAAATTTGAAGAGGATTTCTGCTGTTGGACAGTCTGACATCACACAGGCAGCCTCATGCTGGCTGCTGTCACACTCTGATCTAATGAGTCCAGCTTGTTATTCCAGAGACCTGGGAAGAGCAGACTTTAATTAATGATGCCTTGAGATTCTTTCCCTCTCTGTCCAATCCTGGCTTAAAATCCCAACCTTGAGCAGGGGGAAGGTTTGGAGGTGGGAAGATTTCGTGGAGAAATGTTACCCACTATGTTTTTGGGGTGGTTTATTCCACTTTGAGGTGGTTTATTCCACCAGCTGAACTCAGCACCTCCTCTTATCCAGCTCCTAACATTCTAGTACCCTCAGAAGCTTCTGGAAATGCCCGAAGGAAGGGTGAGGAGTCCCTCCTACTGTGAGAACCCCGGGCTTCGTCTCGGGTCTCGTGTGGTGGTAAAGTCTCTCCTCCAAGCCGTGCTTCCAAAGGAAAACTGCGCAGGCTCTTGTTGTTGGGTCTCAAGGCAGTTTATTGTGAGTTATCTAAAATATTTTCTTCTCGGGCTGCTGTGGTTTGCTCAACAGCCCAGGCAGAGGCACACACACACCCTGACATCCTCTCTGACCCCGACTGCTTCTTCTCTCCCTGCCCAGGGCTGCTGCTGTCTTTTATATGATATATTACTTATTACATGTTTACAGTTTTCCCCCAATACCTATTACCTACATTACAAAGTGCTTTTCTACTCTAAACCAATCTGTGAGTGCCAACATCACCAAGAACATGGAGGTGAGGAAGAAGGAGGAAGAACAGGATCAGCCCACTTTCCTCCATCTTAGAACTTCTGACCCCCATGTACAAAGTAAAAACCCCCCTGGACAGGTGCTAAAACCCCCCTGTACAATACTAAAAAATTTCCCCTCTGTTTTGTAACTACTTTTACTATCCCATCTAACCCTTTGTGACTGCTTGTTCCACCTCCAAGGTTGGTAACTCATTCCATGGCTCAAACCCAAAATCACAGCTGTTTGCAGCTGTGCCAGGGTCTCAAATGCTTCTGACCAAGGCCTGGAACCTCTAAAAATGCCTGAGGGACATTTTGAGTTCCAACATCCTACCTTGCAGGATGTATCCATCGGGGAAGCGCACCCGCAGCAGGGTGTAGTTGTACTTCCTCACCTCCCTCTGCTCGTCCTTCTCGCGCATGGCTCTGGTCCTCAGCATCGCCGCCTTCTCCACCGCCTCTGTCCTGCGGGGGAGAGACCCTTGTAGACCCCGAGGGGAGCCACGAGCTCCTGCCTGGTGTCCCCCGACCCTGCAGCCGCTCACCGGAGCCGCTGCTCCCTGCGCAGCTCCTCTGCCGTGAGGTTGAAGAAGTCGTGGGGCAGCTGGAAGCGCGCGGCCGCGGGCGACGGCCGGAACAGGGCGAGCTGCCGGTGCAGCCGCGCCCGCACGGGCTCCGAGCTCAGCAGCCGCTCCTTGCGCTCCTTCAGCTCCTCCAGCCTGCTCAGCACCTCCTCCTGCAGCACGAGGAACTCCTCCGTGGTCTCTGCAAAGCCACAAGGGTGGCGTCAGGCTCACGGGTGTCACCCCGATTCTGAAGATTTTCCTAAAGCCTTCTGAGTTTGCATTCTGTTAGAAAGCTTTCCCACATATTTTCTATAAGCAACATATTGTTTTGCATTCCTTCGTGGGGGTGGAGGAAGTTGATGTACTGGTGGTTTGGCCAATGTCTTTGGAGAGGTGGCCCATTGACTCTCCAATCCACTGTCACCTTTGGAAAAGTATAAAAATTGGAGTCAGAATAATAAACGTCCTTCTTTTTGCCTCGCCATCGCGGTGGCTCGTGTTGTGCTTGTTGTGTCCTGTAGTGACACTCAGGCTTTAGGGCAGTGACACGGGGACAAGGATCTCAGGGGCAATGTCACATCGGGACGAGGAATGTTGAGAAGGATGGATAAATATAATTATTCATAAATAATACAGCCAAGATAAACCAGTCCTCCCTGCTAGCTGGACAATGACCTTTGTGGAGCTGTCAGCAGCATCCCACAAAGCCCTGACTCCACATTACCACCACGAGTCCTTGCCTTGTCCTGGAACAGGCAGGGTTTTTGTCTCAAACCCGACAGCCTGGAAAAATTTGTGCGTCCCTTCCAAGCAGCTTATCCTTTCCTGGAAGAAAAGGGCAGAATTGAGGTGGAGTTTGCTCCAAGTAAGGGTTTTCCAAGGCTGAGCAGCTGCAGAGTCAGAGCTCACCTGAAACACCTTGTTCTGCAGTTTGATTTTCCGGTATTTCTCCTCCTCTGGATGGAGATAGATGTTATCCAGGTACCTGCAGCAAGAGGAATGCAGTGCCTGGATCAAAGCAGGACACTCTGAGGTCAGAGAGAAAACACAGACCTCACAGAGAACAAAAAGCTGAGAAACCCAAGAAAATACAATACATCAATGTTTTGGGGCCAAATCAACAACCAGCAGCTCCCAAACCTCTTGGATTAGTGGGACCAACTCCTGCAGGGTGCTGACATCAGGTCAACTGACAAATTGGGTGGTTCAAGAGTCCCATTTTCTTCCAAAAAAAAAAGACTTTGCTAGAAAAAGAGCAAGAAGACCCATCAAGGAAGGGATGAGCTGCCTGTGCCCTCAGTCCCACTCACTTGGCCATGGTCTCCACGCACACCCGGACCTTCTCCCGGTCCTTGTTGAAGGTGTGGATCTCCATGATGGAAGCAGCCACTGGGTCCACGGAGGAATACTGGGGGAGAGGGAGAGAAGCTGCTCAGGGAGGAGCTGACCCCAGCTCAGCTCGGTTGTTCCTCATTTGCTGGGCTAGAGATGATTTAACAGGTAAAGCGAAATTGTCCCGGGGGAGATTTTTACACAAAGGAAGTGGGCTGGTCACTGCTGGAGGGGACCCACGGCACAAAAGGAGTTTGAAGAGGGAAGGGAAGGAGTTTGAAGGGAAGCACTCACTGCCTGGATGGCTTCTCGGAGCTGCTTTTCCTTCTGGTCTTTCCTCACAATGGCACCAGTCAAGGGGCAAATGAAATAAACCCCCGAGACAGAGGGAGCAGCTGCCCCTTCCTCCTCCTGCTGCTGAAGGAGATAAAACCAGGCACCAAGCTGAGCACAGAGAAGTTTTGGGGTTTATAAATCCCCTCAGGAGAGGGAGAGCAGCCCCGAGAGGTGCCGAGCAGGGAATGGCAGCATCTCCCTCACCTTTTCCTCCATGGAGAGGTTCTTCTCCCCGGCAGCTGCCTCGGCCATCAGCTCTTTTCTCACTACAACAAACAAACCCCAACTGGAGCGGAGGCTCAGCACATTCCAGAGGCTTTTGGACAGCTGAGAAGCAAACACCTGCCCAGATGTGTCATCCTAGCCCAGGGCTGCACATGACCCCATTTCCACTGCCCCAAAACACCCTGCAGAGCCCCACTCTTTGTTCTTTTGGGTGCTTTTGCAGCCGGGCCCGCTGTCCCCGGGCTCCAGCGGAGCCGCGGTTCCCCCGGCCCGCTCCTACCCTGGTTCTTGATGTGCTCCTGGGAGCCGGACGCTGCCTTCCCCTTGGGCTTCAGCTCCAGCCGGGCCAGCGCCGCCGCCGCCGCCTTCTGCGCCTCGTCCGTGGGGGCCTGCCGGGGCTTCGGGGCCGCCTCGGCTCTCGGCTTCTCCGCGGGGGCCCTGGCACGGAGGAACGGGGCTCGGTGCGCGCCCGCCGCCCGCGGGACCGGCCGCTCGGGCCCGGCCGTGCCGCAGCTCCCGGCGGCGCCCCGGGCAGCGCCGGGCTCAGGGCGGGCGGCACCGGCGGCACCGGCGGCGCAGGGGCCGGTGGTGCCCGGGGCTGGCGTTACCGGGGCTGGCGTTACCGGGGGTGGCGTTACCGGTGATCCCCCCCAAGCCCGTACCGGGACGGCTCCGAGAGCTTCTGCCCGGGCCCCGCCGTCTTGAACTTCAGGTCGGCCTTGATCTCCTGGAAGAACTTGCGCATGGCGGTGCCGGGACGGGAGCGCCGGGACGGGAACACCGGGACGGGAGCACAGGGACGGGAGCACCGGGACGGGAGCACCGGGACGGGAACACCGGGAGGGAGCACCGGGAGGGAGCACCGGGACGGGAGCGCCGGGAGGGAGCACCGGGACGGGAACACCGGGACGGGAACGCCGGGAGGGAGCACCGGGACGGGAACGCCGGGACGGAGCGCCGGGACGGAGCACCGGGATGGGAGCACCGGGACAAGAACGGCCCCGCCGTGTTCCCCGCCGCGCTTCCGGCCCGCCCGCGCCGTCACCGGAACGGGGCGGGACCGGCGCCGCTCGGGCGGCGGGGGGAGCGAGGGATGCCGGCACCGGGAGCACCGGGGGCTGGCGGCACCCACGGACCTCCACAGAGCCCCGGTTGCATCCACGGACCCCCGGCGGCACCCACGGAGCCCGGGGCACCCCCAGACCCCCCCAAACCTGCTCCCGCAGCCCCCAGGGAACATCCCCGGCTCCCGGTGCCCCCGGAGCAGCCCCGGTGGGAGCAAAGCACGCGGAGAAGGACCTCGTGTCCGCCCCATCCCCGGGAGCTCGGCCGAGGGCTCCAGACCTGAGCGTGGGCACCGTGGACTCCATCCCCGCGTGTGCTGCGCTGTCACCGGGTTATTTCCACGGCACGGCTCCTGCTCCCGGGACACTCGCCGCCGAGGAAGGGGCTGCGAGTCCCGGCACCGGGCGGAGCCCGTCCCGAACGGGGCTCTGCGTTCGCCGGGGCAGCGGCACCGGGCACTGCCCCTCCGGCGGCACCCCGGTGGCACCGAGAGCCAGGCTGGACGCGCACCGGCATCGCCAGCGGGAATCACGGATGGGACACGGATCTGCCCTCCGGTGGCACCGCCGTGGCACGGGACGGGCTGAGGAGGATGTACCGAGCCCCGAGGCTGCTGGGGGTGGCAGAGCTGGGATACAGCACGGCCGGGATGTGGCACAAGCCGAAATCCTGCACGGCGGGCACACGGCACAGCCTGGCAGGGCCAGACTGTGGCACAGACTGGATATGGCACGGTCAGGAGGCAGCACGGATGGGATATGGCACGGCCAGGACGTGGCACAGCCAGGACGTGGCACAGTAGGGATGAGGCACAGCATGGATGTGGCACACCAGGAACATGGCACAGCAGGGACATGGCACAGCAGGGACATGGCACAGGAGAGATTTGACACACCAGGACATGGCACAGCAGGGATGTGGCACACCAGAGACGTGGCACAGCAGGGATGTGGCACAGCATGGATGTGGCACAGCATGGATGTGGCACAGCAGCCATTTGGCACATCAGGGACATGACACACCAGGGACGTGGCACAGGAGGGATTTGGCACAGCACGGATATGGCAAGGCCAGGATGTGGCACAGCCAGGATGTGGCACAGCCAGGATGTGGCACAGTGGGGATGTGGCACAGGAGGGATTTGGCACAGTGGGGATGTGGCACAGCAGGGATGTGGCACAGGAGAGATTTGACACAGCAGGGACATGGCACAGCAGGGATGTGGCACAGCATGGATGTGGCACAGCAAGGACGTGGCACACCAGGAACATGGCACAGCAGGGACATGGCACAGGAGAGATTTGACACACCAGGACGTGGCACAGCAGGGATGTGGCACAGCAAGGATGTGGCACAGCAGGGATGAGGCACAGCATGGATGTGGCACAGCAGCCATTTGACACATCAGGGACATGACACACCAGGGACGTGGCACAGGAGGGATGTGGCACACCAGGAACATGGCACACCAAAGACGTGGCACAGCAGGGACGTGGCACAGCCCAGATATGGCACAGGAGGGACGTGGCACAGTGGGGATGTGGCACAGCAAGGATGTGGCACACCAGGGACATGGCACACCAGAGACATGGCACACCAGGGATGTGGCACACCAGAGACATGGCACACCAGGGATGTGGCACACCAGGGACATGGCACACCAGAGACATGGCACACCAGGGATGTGGCACACCAGGGACATGGCACACCAAGGACATGGCACACCAGGGACATGGCACACCAAGGACATGGCACGGCAGGAACAAGGCCTCACTCCCACTGTGCCAGGGAGCACTCCCACACCACCTTCACAAATCCCTGCAGTGGGATTTCCCCTCCTCACACACCTCCCCCCTGAACCCCAAAACCCTGGCAATGAAGAGTTTCACCCCAAAACGGGGTTTGGGTTTTCTCCCGCCGGGCTCTGCCGGGCGCTGGGAGCAGCCCGCTGTGGGCAGGGACTGTTTTCCTTCCCGTGACCTTCCCGAGGAGCCCATTTGGGATAACAGCAGGCTCCCAGCCAGCTGCACAGCCTCTGCTCCAGCTTCGCCAGGCTCAGCCCAACTTTGGAATGACTCTCCTGGTGGCCCTGTCCTGGCCAGGGACACGGCCACCAACACCCTCCCCAGTCCAGAAGGAGTCCGGAGCCCCGGGATGGTTCCAGGGAAGGAATCCAGCTGGGAGCCGCATCCCCAGGCTGGGGGGCTGTGCTGGGGGCAGTGGACGGGGCAGGATCGGTGTTTGCCCCATCCACAGCCCTGAAACTCCCCCCACACCCTCGTCCCCCACAGCCCTGACACCCCCAAAGCCCCCAGCCCCACCACAGCCCGTCCCCGCTCAGGTCCCAATTCCCAATCCTTGTCCCATCCCTGTCCCAATTCCCAATCCTTGTCCCCCCTCTTGTCCCAATTCCCAATCCTTGTCCCTATTCCTGTCCCAATTCCCAATCCTTGTCCCCATTCCTGTCCCAATTCCCAATCCTTGACCCATCCCTGTCCCAATTCCCAATCCTTGTCCCTATTCCTGTCCCAATTCCCAATCCTTGTCCCCATTCCTGTCCCAATTCCTGATCCTTGTCCCTATTCCCAATTCTTGTCCCTGTTCCTGTCCCAATTCCCGATCCTTGCCCCATTCCTGTCCCAGTTCCCGATCCTTGTCCCTATTCCTGTCCCAATTCCCGATCCTTGCCCCATTCCTGTCCCAGTTCCCGATCCTTTTCCCTATTCCTGTCCCAATTCCCGATCCTTGCCCCATTCCTGTCCCAATTCTCAATCCTTGTCCCCATTCCTGTCCCAATTCCCGATCCTTGTCCCATTCCTGTCCCAGTTCCCGATCCTTGTCCCATTCCTGTCCCAGTTCCCGATCCTTGTCTCTATTCCTGTCCCAATTCCCGATCCTTGTCTCTATTCCTGTCCCAATTCCCGATCCTTGTCTCTATTCCTGTCCCAATTCCCGATCCTTTTCCCTATTCCTGTCCCAATTCCCAATCCTTGCCCCATTCCTGTCCCAATTCCCGATCCTTGTCCCATCCCCGGCCCCCCTCAGGCCTTGTCCCCCTCCCGTCCCCCCCGCCCTTCAGGCCCCGCCCCTCAGCGCCCCCCGCTTCGGCGCCTCCGGCGGCGCGGCCCAATCTCGTTATCCCGCCGCTCCACCGCCTCGCTCCTATTGGTCGGATGCTCTGAGCGACGCGCGGCGGAGCCAATGGGCGGCGCGGTGGCGGCCGGGGGCGGGACATCCTGCGTGCCGTGCGGTGCGGGCCGCCCCCGCCGCCTGCCCGGTGCTGCCGCGGCCTGGGCTGGGCCTGCCCGCGCCCGGTGCCCCCCGCGCCCCCCGGTGCCGCCATGCCACACAGCTTCAAACCCGGGGACCTCGTCTTCGCCAAGATGAAGGGCTACCCGCACTGGCCGGCCCGGGTGAGACCGCGGGGCCGCGCCGCGGGGGGACGGAGCGGGAGAGGGGCGGGGGTCCCGGGCCGGGATGGGGGCGGGACCGGGACCGGGAGGGGGGACTCGAGGCAGGATGGGGACGCGCACCGACCCTTGTCCCCGGAGCGGAGGGCTCTGCCGGGATGGAGATGCCATAACGGTACCTGTACCGGGATGGGGATCCCGGACCGGGATGGGGGCACGGTACCGGTTTGGGAACACGTACCGGGATGGAGATGCCATAACGGGAGCTGTACCGGGACGGGACACCCTGTACCGGGTCGAAGAGCTGGTGCGGGGTTGAACATGCTGTAACGGTACCTGTAGCGGGATAGGAGGGTCGGTACCGGGTGGGGGCCCGGTACCGATGGGTGTCCTGTTCAGGACGGGGGACCCATGTCGGTGTCTGTCACGGCGTGTGAGCCGCTGGTGGCACGAGGGATTTGGCACCAGGGTGGGATTTGGGGTCACATCCCAGCACCTGCACGGGGTTGGAATGTCCCGTACCGGGACGGGGCCCGGTCCCGTGCGGGGTGTCCCGTTCCGGGACGGGAGGTGCCATTCCAGCCCCTCTGCTGGGATGGGGGCCCGGCATGGAATGGGGCGTCCCGTCCCGGAATGGGGGACCCCATGCGAGCCGCTGTGCTGGGGCGAGGGTCCAGCACGGACTCGGAGGTCTGGGATGGGAGCTCAGTGCCGAGATGGCTCCCGGGCTTGCGTCCCTTGTTGGGGACAACGAGGGGACGCTGCGGGTGTGCCACGGGTGGGGGGCTGCTGTCAGCATTCCCAGCGTGGGATCAGCGGGTGCTGCTGCGCTTTGGGGGGTTTTTTTGGGATGCTGGAGCGCCTGGGGAGGGGGACAGCCGGTGCCGCTGGCTGGGCGACAGCGTCGTGCCGCAGTGCTCCTGGAGAGCTGGAGCTGCTTCGGGATCTGCTCAGCTCGGGGGTGCTTGGGGGCTCTGCGGGGTCCCCGGGAGCAGCCGAGGGCGTGGCAGCTTCACGCGGTGCCCTCGGATGGGAAGAGAGCGGGACCGGGGAGCTCAGGGAGCCCAACGCCGCTCGGCTGCGCCTCGCCGTGAGACCCGGGACTGCCGCTCCTGCCCGGACAGCCCCTCTGCTTTAGCTGGCTTGCTTTTTTGGGGAAGGGTCCCTCCAGCCCGAAGACCTCCCCAGCACCCCCTGCGCACCCCGAGGCCCTCCCTGCCCACGGCCCAGCCCGCCCGGAGCACAGAAGACGGGGTGTCCGGCCGGCGGGGCTGCTCCTGCGGCCGGCCTCCACCAGCACGGACCCTGCGGCCGCTCGTCCATCGCCCCCCGCCCGCGCTGCCGGGCCCCGGCCCTGGATCCCG